GTAAGATGTGGAGTTGAGAAATTCTATAATCTCTACTATTTTTCTAGCTATTGATCTTTGGATTTTTGAAAAATTCATTACATAAAATAATGTTAAAATTGAGAAAAGAAAAAGAAAACTAATATACTTTTTTTCCTTTAATGTCTATCAGTACTTTTAATTACAATAAAAAAGTATATAAAAGTTGTCTATTTATAAATGTGAGCTCTATATAAAATTTTAATAAATTTATACAATTTTAAATTATGATTGATTAATTATAATATAATCATTATGTGTCATATGTTATAATTTTAAAAACATTTTAGGATGAGAGTTTAGGTTTTTTCTCCAAAATTTTCTTTTCTTTAGATTTTTAAGCTTTTATTTTGTACCTTTATTTTGATGAAATATACTAATTTGACTTTATATAATTTTTTTTGGTTGAATATTTAAAAGTATAAAACTAAATACAATCCACAAATTAAAAAAATCCAACACCTAATAAACTTGAGGTCTTGGCCTTCATTAAAAAGACCTCTCAAATTCTCAGCATAGTCCTTAGCAGTGTGGGCACTAAGCCTTTGGGCGACATCTGAGGAGTGATCAAACAGGTTATCATATATCAAACGCGCTGGCATTGCAATTTTTTTTCCTCATCATGACAGCTAAAGCCAACAGAGTTCCATCGGGGTCGATTTTGGTGTAGGCAGCTTCATGGTTTTTCTCATCAGAAGCGATGGTGCCACATGTGCCAATTTTATGTAATTATGCACCCCCCCCCCCCATGTGCCTTGACTAGCCTGCCTGGCTGTATGCCTGTGTTACCATGGCCGTGGGAGATGAAGAAAGTGACAGGAATGAAGATGATATTAATATTTTATTTTTACGTAGGTTCGGGCCTTCATGGACAAAGCGGTTTCCATATTTCAAGCGAGAGTCAGTCGTGGATAATATTTAAGGCTCGAAATTCAGGTTGGGCTGAATCTAAACAAACATATATAATATAAATGTCTTACTTAAGCTCAGCTTGCTTGAACCCAATGTAGCGATTTAGAGACAGAGAGACAGAAATGAGATTTAGACGATAGGCGCACGAGACAGTAGAATGGAAGAAGAGAAAACGAAATGTAGTTCATGTATATCAAATGACAAACGGTATCGTTTAAATTTTTTCAATATTAAATATCTATCATGCCACGTGTAATTATATATATATATATATATATCAGAGCATATTTTAAGGTGTCATGTCGTGCACTTGCTTATTTCATAAAAAAATTATTTTTTTGCCCTAAATTGGCTCAAATTAAAATGAGAAAATGATCAAATTTATCACTTCTATTGGATCGGGGGCTTCATATTTATCACTTTTTTTATATATAATTTTACCATCAAGCTACATTTTTTGATGTAATTTTAATCACTTATTAATGAAAATAAAATATTTCATCTAGGAAAAAGAAATTTTCATAAATAAATTTAATATGTTTTAATTTTTATTATATAAAAAAATAAAAATAATTTATATTAAATTCTAAGTAAGAATAATATCAATAATTAAATAAAAATAAATAATTTTTTAAAAATACCAATAATATCATTTTTCTAAAAGAATAATTAAAGATATTATTTTAATAACGTAGAACAAACAAGTTATAAAAAAATAAAAAAAGATAGAACAAACAAATTGAGTTCAGCCCGTTTGGCAAAAGAGCTAAAGGTTGCAAGAGCAAACTAGCATCCTTCATTCTTAAAATACTCTAGCTCTAGCAAATTTAATATCATTCATGATTATTTGGGATCTAATTTGTTGCGTAAAGAGCAATATAAGATGCATCCAACACTCTCGTCAATTTATATATATATAAATATTTGTTTGATAATTTGGCTTCTTAAAATGATTACATCCGGCTTGCCATGCAATCTAAGAAGTTCAGAACCTAAAAATTAATGTCATTACGTTAGTGTTTGGTTTAAGAAAATATAATTATTTTTTATTTTTAATTTTTTAAAAAATAAAAAAGATGAGTGAAAAATGTATTTGATAATTGAGAATGAAAGCAAGTTTTCTTTTTTTTTTTTTTTTTTAAATTATGCTAATTTGACCAAATTTCAATTATTTCTTTGATTTTTAATTATTTTTAAAAATGGCATTGTTGATATTTTAAAAAATAATTTGATTATATATTTAATTATTTATATTATTCTTGGTTGAAATTTGATATAAAGTACTTTTTACTTTTTATATAATAAAAATTAAAAAAGTAATTAAAACTTTTAGTAAAATATTCTTTAATTTAGATGAGATGTTCTAATTTCATTCATAAATGATTAAAATTACATAAAAAATATATTAAGATGGTAAAATTGTATAAAAAATTAGAATGATAGTAATATTGGCAAAAAAAATAATAATATAGTGATAAATTTAACTCCTTTTTAATTAAAATTTAATCATTATGTGAGCAATCAGCCTAAATTAAAACATTTAATCTTAAAAATTTGATCATTTCCAATTACACATAAAATAAAAAGAACCTATGCGAATCGAATTTATTTATATTATTGTGCAAAGCCGATTAACGAAGTTAGCGCACAAGAAAACAAAAGCCGATTAATGGAAACGCCCCCAACTTGTCAAAGTCCAATTTTTGAACTGCAAAAGTAATTATTTTTAATTACTCACACCAATTACATCCAAACTTTTTAGTTGTGTATCTTATCTACTTAAATTATATATTAGCTAATCTCTGTTTAGCAGGATAGCACTCACATTAGTTAATTATTTTTTAGTTAATTATTTCTTATCTACTTAAGTATTTTTTATTATTTTTTAATATAACTTTTAATTTTACTGATTAAATATCAAAGCATAACAGTATTAAAAAACAGTAAAAAAAAATCAATTCCAAAATTTTTTAAAGTTATATTGCCAGCGGTTCACTCGTCGTGATTAGGGTTGTAAACGAGTCGAGCTGAGTCGAATAGTGAGAAGCTTGAGCTCGAGCTCGACTCATAATTCGAGGTTCGATACTCGGTTCGAGTTCGATCGAGTTTTATTTTTCAAGCTCGAGCTCGATTCGTGATCGAATTCGAGCTACTCGAGCTCGCTCGATTAAGCTCGATTAATATGTAAAAATAAGCTCGATTCGTATACTCGACAAGAGTTTGATTATTTATGCTCGAACTCAAACTCGGACTCGAAATATTTTATTAATTAAAATAATAAAAATATATTTAAATATAAAAGCTTGATTAGGCTCGCGAGCTACTTGAGTCAGATATAAAAATACTCGAATTCGACTCGATCGATAAGTCGAGTTACTCGAGCTCGAGCTCGACTCGACAATAATCGAACTAAATTCGAGTTTTTTTTTTGAATCGAACTCGAATAACTTGCGAGTATTAATATATCATTTACATCTCTAGTCGTGACTTTGTGAAAGGGAAAAAGTTTTTTTTTTTTAATTTCTTAGATAATATGTTAATTTAATTAAATTTTCTTTTATTTTTTTATTGTGATTTAATAGATAGGTGATAATCTCTCAATGAATTATTGATTTAATGACAAAAAACAGGTTTTAAAAATTTAAAAATCTGATGTTAAAATTTTTTTAAATGTGAGTTTGGTTGTTTAATTATAATTTAAGTCATTAATTAATTTTTAAATTTATTATGTAAATATAATATTTAATTATAATTATAATTAAAAAAATAAATATGTAATAATCTTATAAATTTATTTGTAAAATTTAAAATTTTAATTGTCGGAATACATGACATTGTACTTGAAACAAGGAAGTTCATTGTCCCCTGGGTGAGGCGTTAGCCCATAAGTTATATGTTTTGCACGTTCCTTGGTTTTTGTTTATATTTTGTTTTATTTTATTTTGCTCTTTTATATGAAAATTTTTACCAAAGTGATTAGCCTCTCTTTGTTATTTATTTTTACATTTTTCATCCAATTTACACTAATACTGTGTTCGTCTAAATAGTAAATGTCACTAATATTGAAGTTCAATTTATTTTATAAAGAGTTAATTATATTTTTTACTTGAATTTAAAAAATATATAAATTGATATTTAATAAATAAAATATATAATTTATATTTTAAATTTTTAAAAATGTATAATTTATATTTTAAAATTTTAAAATATGTATCATATTAATTAAAATTTTTATTTTATTAATCATATCAATTTATATGCGTAATGGTTAGTAAATATTACTAAATTATAATCACCACACAAATTATAATATTTTTTAATATAAATTAAAAATATAATTTTTTTAATTTACATGAATCATAAAATATGTATAAAACCGTCAATCACGTAACATCTAATTTAAAGTTTTTATAAAATATTTAATATTTTTGTTTAACAAATAATATATGTATAATAAACTTTAGTAATTAAATATCAAATAGATTAGTTAAGTTAATAATATTAAAATAATTTTTTAAAAAAATTTAGGAATAAATTATATATATTTAGATATAAATTTATACATTTTTCAAGTATAAAAAATATAATTAACTCTTTTATAAAATAATAAATTTAGAGTAGAAAAAAAAGTCTTAACAGAGTTAGGGAAAGAAAGCGATAAAAAAGGCATGTGAGCTGGGGAGAAAACAGGAGCACCGGTAGCAGTAGTAGAAAGACTAAAGGAATAAAGAATAGTGGGGGCAAGTAAGATGATTATATCTCCGCAAAACCAAAATCAGAACAATAAAAAAAAATAAAAGAAAAAGAAACAAATCTTTCTCTCTCCTGTTTCTCTTCTGTTTCATAGTTAAGATTGTAAAACCCTTTCCCTTCCCTTTACAGACTGTAGCTACTCTTTCCCACCAACCGTTTTTCTTCACTTCTCCCCTCTACCGCCATTTTTAACGAATTTCCATTCCCCCATTTTTGAAATTAGTAAAATAGAAAGAAACCCATTGAGTTTTTTTTTTGCTCTCCCTAAGGAACCCTAACTCCCTTTTTCTTTCTCAAGCAGAAGCTTCAGTTTCTGGGTTTTTTTTTTTGGTTTGGGATTTTCTAATCAATGAATTAAATGAATCTCTCTTTTTCTTTCGCTTTCTCCTTTTATCTTCTTTTGTTACTGTTGTTTTTGGGGTTAGCTTCTGCATTTGAGTTTGACCCGTCGGAGCTCCGATCTTTACTCGAGTTCAAGAAAGGCATCAAAACCGACCCTTTTGATAAGGTACTCCCCTTATGGAATCCGGATACCCGACCCGACCCTACTTCATGGACCGGTGTTACCCTCGACCCCAACTCCGGCTTCATCGTTTCTCTTAACTTAGATCGTCTCGGTCTCGTCGGCAACCTCAAGTTCCACACTCTCACTCCCCTCAAGAATCTCCAAAACCTCTCCCTGTCAGGCAACATTTTTACCGGTCGGATCGAACCCGCATTGGGCTTGATACCCTCGCTGCAACATTTGGATCTGTCCCATAATCAGTTCTTCGGCACGATCCCGGGACGGATCACGGACCTTTATGGGTTAAATTACATGAATTTATCGGGTAACAAATTAGAAGGTGGATTACCGGGCGGGTTCCGAAATTTACAGCAGTTAAGAGTGTTAGATTTACACAACAATGTGCTCCGAGGCGATATAGGCGAGTTACTTAGCGAGTTAAGAAACGTTGAACACGTTGATTTGAGTTATAACGAGTTTTACGGAGGTTTGTCTGTGGCTGTTGAAAATGTGTCCAGTTTGGCTAATACAGTGCGTTTTGTGAACTTGAGTCACAACATGTTGAATGGTGGGTTTTTTAAAGAGGAAGCGATTGGGTTGTTTAAGAATTTGCAGGTTTTGGATTTGGGCGATAACTTGATTGCTGGGGAGTTACCAAGTTTCGGGTCGTTGCCGGGATTACAAGTTTTGAGGTTGGGAAAAAATCTGCTCTTCGGGCCGGTTCCAGTGGAGTTGTTGGAGGGTTTTGTTCCAGTGGAGGAGTTGGATCTCAGTCACAATGGATTTACGGGTATTGATTTTTTGTTGACTTTTCTTTTCTATTTTTTTTTAATGAAGTTGGAATATTTATTTAGTCAATAGGCTACTAATTTTAATGCTAAAATATTTATCTATTTTTGGATCTGAATTATCGATAGATGTTCTTTTCCCTTATATTTTGATGATAGAGACCAATGCCAATAGGTCATTTTATTCTGATTTTTCCATGAAAGCAATATTAGTTTTTTTTTTTTTCTTTTGCCAGAGAAAGTAATGTTAGTTAAAAATGTACATCTTTTTGTCTTTTTGGTTTATAATTATTTACTTAATCATCTTTTAACGTTGGAGTTTTACTAGAAGTATGTGAATGTGAAGTGATTTTGGGGGTGTTATTCCTTGTATTTCATGAGTCTGGGGATTGAGTTTTAGGTGTAATAATCCTCAAAATTTTTGAGGGCAATAATTTACAAAGAGAGGATATAGTTTGACAAGTAATTTTTTTTTTTCATGTCATGGTCTGGAAAAAAAAATACAACTATAACAATAACAACGAACTAAGCCATGTATCCCATAACTCTGGGGTCGGCTGTATGAAAAGCCAAAAAAAGGAATCATGTTAGGTCGTAGTTTGAATCTTTTGCGCTACTCATTTTTATTAAAAACAACCTTCTGATAGAAAGCTGAATATTCCATCTTGCATAAAAATGATTATGTGGAATCTTTAAAATGCAAAATTTTAAAATAAAAAGGTATGTGTACCTGTAAGCCCTTGAGTGCAAATGAAGGAAATCTTTTTTTTTTGTTTGTTTGTTGCTTTACATCTACTGTTTGAGGAATGATGAAAGTGTGATGCTCTCTTCCTGCATCATAGGTTTGCTTTAGATATGCTTCAAACAAAATATGATGCTTGGTAAACGGAATTCAAGGCAGTAGGATTGTGTAACAATTATTCATCTTCTAAAACTGAGCTAATCTTCTGGCTTTTGCTTAAAGTAGTGATTACTAAAACATGGAAGATTTTATGTACATGGATATCCTACAAATACAAATCGCTGAATCCCATCAATGAGTTGTTTATGTGTAGCAAAAATTAACTCTTTGGTGTTATTGCTTTATATATGGTAAATAATTTTTCTATGTCAATTGAGTCCTGAACTTTTTTCTGTTCTTCTATTAACCTAAATTTGCACTAAATTCTCTTCTGTGCCCATTTGACTGTATGGATATCTGAAGTTATCTGATATTTTGCAATGCACAGAAATTCTCCTGAGCCCATTTGACTGTAAAGATTTTGAAGTCATCTGATATTTTACATCTTACCAAATTTGTTCAGGTTCGGTTCGCTTAATTAACTCTACGACTTTGAAGATTCTGAATCTTTCTTCTAATCGGTTGTCTAGTGATTTGCCCTCTTCTCTAAGAAGCTGTGAAACAGTTGATTTGAGTAGCAACATGATCTCTGGTGATATATCTGTTATGCAGAATTGGGAAGCCTCTTTGGTGGTCCTTGATTTGAGTTCAAACTTGTTGTCTGGAAGCCTGTCACACTTGTCTCACTTTGAAGATTTAAACACATTTAATCTTAGGAATAATTCCCTTGTTGGTATCTTGCCTTCTCTATTGGATACCTCTCCAAGATTATCTGTTGTCGAACTCAGTTTGAATCAACTCAGTGGAACTATTCCTGGTAGTTTCTTCACTTCTACGACTTTGAAAAGCCTGAATCTTTCAGGAAATCATTTCACTGGACCAATTCCTCTTCAAGGCTCACGTGTTAATGAATTACTTGTTATGTCGTCTTATCCACAAATGGAGTCTCTTGATCTCTCCAACAATTCCTTGACAGGTGGTTTGCCTTCAGAGATTGGTAACATAGCTGGGCTCAAACTGCTGAATCTTGCTGACAACGAATTATCAGGCCAGCTGCCTAGTGAATTAAGCAAACTTAGTAATTTGGAATACCTTGATTTATCCAGAAATAACTTCAAGGGTAAAATCCCTGATAAGCTTTCAACTAGCCTTAATGGATTTAATGTGTCCTATAATGATCTGTCAGGTCCTGTTCCGGAAAATTTGAGAGGCTTCCCTAGGTCTTCATTTTCTCCAGGAAACACATTGCTGATTTTCCCTAATGGTATGCCATCAACAGACACCCCTCAAGATCAGGCCCCTGATCATGTGAAACATCATAATTCAAAGGGTAATATTAAAGTAGCAATCATTATTGCGTCAGTTGTAGCTGCTGTAATGTTTGTTTTTGTATTATTGGCATATCACCTTGCTCAACTTAAAGAATTTCATGGAAGAAGTGGATTTACTGAAACAACTATTGGAAGTGATGCAAAGTTAAGCAGACTTTCACGACCTTCCCCTTACAAGTTCCACTCAAATGTTCAGACGCCACAAACTTCATTGAGTTTTTCAAATGATCACTTGCTTACTTCAAATTCTAGGTCTTTGTCTGGACAGCAAGAATTTGTTACTGAAATTGTTGAGCATGGTGCACCCGAGAGAGTTGCAGCCTCTTTGGCATCCGTGAATCCTAACCTACTAGATAATGAGCCAGCAACATCTGGGAGGAAATCCTCCCCAGGCTCTCCATTACCATCATCACCCCATTTTATAGAATCATGTGAACAGCCTGTGATATTGGATGTGTACTCACCGGATCGTTTGGCTGGAGAATTGTTCTTTCTCGATACTTCATTAACATTCACTATTGAGGAGTTATCTCGAGCTCCAGCAGAAGTTCTTGGCAGAGGCAGCCATGGAACTCTATATAAAGCTACTCTGCGTAATGGACATATGTTGACTGTGAAGTGGTTGCGTGTAGGACTGGTTAAACATAAGAAAGAATTTGCTAAGGAAGTTAAAAAGATAGGATCCGTAAGACATCCTGACTTTGTTCCAGTCCGAGCATACTATTGGGGGCCAAGGGAACAAGAGAGGCTTCTTCTAGCAGATTATATCCAGTGTGATAGCTTGGCTTTGCATCTCTATGGTAAGAGCTTTTAACCTTTCTTTTCTTTTATTTTATGTGATTATTTAACTAAGTCTTAATGTTTGTTTGCTATTTCTTTCCTTTTAAGTCTTTGAAGTTATCACATGGATTATGATGTTTATGGTCTTGTTTGTCATCTCTTTTTCAGTTTTTTGTGCTAGATTTGCTCATTGTTTGTGCATGTTAATATTGTTTGGTTTGCTGTTAGTACTTTTTTCTTTCTTAGCTGCTACAAAGTTATGGAGACACTGAAATCAAGACAGTGCATATTAAAATTAATGCGGTTAACATGTCTGTGACAAGTTTCTTCTTCTCTTTTTTTTTTTTTTTTGTTTTTAATGTTATTTTGCAGTATTTCTAATTTATGTTCTTGGGATATTTGCTGAGTGCCATCCTACCTCAATTCTGGCAGGAGTATTATTTACTAACCTTATGCAATATGGTCTGCTGTGTATTTGTGTGCATGTCACGGGAATTTGGAAAGTCAAGTCTCTTCATCTCATTTTCTTAGATCTGTCGCAGGACCTAGAAACAGAGTTTTGAACTGTGTTTGCCCTACCTATAGGGCAGTGTTACCATCAAATCATTATGAAGTTAAACAGGATAACATGTGTCTGTGGGTGTATAAGGTCACTGTTGAGGTCTCTTGTGATTGTTTTGAACTAGCTATGGGGAGGCAAGTGATGCACTGATGCTTAACTGGATTTGACCTCCTTGGAGATCAAGTTATATTGGATCAGTGTCAAATGAACCTGACTGGTAGCAATAATTTCTCAGTTCACTAATATCAGGTGGTTAGTTAAACCTAAAGTTAGGTGCTCTTGCTCATTCTGTAATCACTTTAGGTTGCCAGTATTCACTATTACTGATGTTAGACTTTACAACCCTAATTATGAGTTTGGTGGTATTTTATTACTTCTAATTTTCTTGCAGTTTTGTGCTATATCTTTGCATCAATGTTTGGTTACAGATTTTAGAATAAAATCAAATGCCTCTCTTTTAAATTGAACAGAAGTAGTTGTTTCAGATGACAACCCTTTTAGATTCTCTCCTGATGAACTTGTCCTCAATCAGCATAAATGTTAAGTACAAAATCTTGGATGTCAAACATAGCAGTAGGCAAGAAATTAGTGCACTAATTTAAGAGGAATACAAAAGTAGATGCTTTGAATCTGGTTTAGAGTTTTGGCTCTGATGTGTTACTCCTGTGGCTTAACTTCTCTAAAATTCAGCTTCTTTTCCCCTCCCCACGAAACCACACCTTTTGCTTTTCTTCCTTGCAAAAGATGGAGGAGGATGTTGAAAAGAATCTTTGCAGTGTCATTTACCTGTTCTTGGCACTGTGGCACTTAGTTGGGTTGATTGTGGTAAATGATGGATTTCTGCCTCTTTGATCACCTAATTGGCTAATTTCACAACGATCAGAATTCAAGACTAACAGGTTAAATGTGAAGAAATAGTAAAAAAATGTGTGTTTTTAATTACAGTAGGTTTAAATTTTTAATAGTCATAACTCAATGAAATTACAAAGATGAAGCTAGAAATAATACACTAGGGATCTTTTCTCTCTGACCCAATCGAAGGGAAGGTGTTTGTTATTGACTATACACACTGGCTTACATTATTGGAATGAAGCTGTGTTTTTCTTATACAAAACCAGAAGTTATTGTTAAATTTGCTATCATGGCAAGAGCCGGTGCTACATGAGGCATTGTTGGCATTACATTTGTCTTGCAATCTTGAATTACATGTATGTAAGGTTATGTTGCAGGAATTCATGAATTCATTGAGATTCTGCCTTTATGTTTTCATATGTTAATGCAGAGACAACTCCTCGGAGGTACTCCCCATTATCTTTCAGCCAAAGACTGAAAGTTGCTGTGGAAGTGGCTCAGTGTCTGTTACACCTACATGATCGAGGCCTGCCACATGGAAACCTAAAGCCGACAAATATACTCCTTGTTGACCCTGATTACCATGTTTTCCTGACCGATTATTGTCTTCACCGGCTGATGACACCACTTGGCATTGCAGAGCAGATATTGAATCTGGGAGCCCTTGGATATCGCGCTCCCGAACTTGCTTCTGCATCTAAACCGGTCCCATCATTTAAAGCTGATGTCTACGCATTTGGAGTGATCCTGATGGAATTGTTAACAAGAAGAAGCGCTGGTGACATAATATCAGGTCAATCAGGAGCAGTGGATCTGACAGATTGGGTTCGATTATGTGATCAAGAAGGACGGGGAATGGACTGCATTGACAGAGACATTGCTAGCGGGGAAGAACACACAAAAGCAATGGATGATTTGCTTGCCATATCACTCAGGTGTATTCTTCCTGTAAATGAGAGGCCTAGCATCAGACTAGTATTTGAGGATCTCTGTTCAATATCCCTCTGAAATTTTGTACATTCGTCTGGGAATTCTTTTTTGTTATTCCTCGGCCACATTGTTGTTGTCGTTGTCTTTTTTTTTTTTTTTCCATATTATTTTTTTTCTCCTCTTCAATTGGTTTTCAGCCTAGTGATTTTGGGGCTAGTAATCACATTTCTTTTTCTTGAAAATTTTCTTGTAAAGTGACTACTGATCCATTTGTTATTTGACACTGTTTCCTGTTTGATCCCCAATCGAAAAAAGGATGCAAATTTTCTCTTCAATCTGTCTCAATCAGTATTTTTGTTTTACTCTTAATCACATTAGTGAATAATCAGACAAAAATAGCATTCCTCACTTCTCAAAGTATGACTCAGGAGTGAGCTCCCATGGAAAAATAGTGAGAGACTGAAGATTTTCCTTCGCTATTTACATCTCATATTTACAGAAAAATGCCTCAACCTACAAAATTCGCAATGAACCCAGGATTTCTTTTCCCAATCCCCTTTACCTTTTAACCTTGCAAACGCTTATACACAATAATACAAATAATTATCTTAATACCAACATATCAAATACTATGAAGCAAAAAAATAAAAAATAAAACCCTATTTTCCCTTTTCTTTTTCTCTATCTACCACATCATTTGACAGGTCCTGGAGAATAATTTTCTTTGATTATCTTTCCACTGTCTTTTCTATGGTTCTGACGACTTCCAAGACGGTGCCATCGCAAAAGAAACATCTTTGACAATTTAAAAGATGTCTAGTTATGCAACCATAGCAAGACCTATGGGAACATGGGGCAAACTGTGCATCTGCTTTACAAGCATAACAGAGGCAGCACATGCCATCGTCTGCATCAGTTTCTCCACGTTGAAGCCCCTCCATTTTCGGTTACACGGAATGGCTGAGGAGGAGGCCCAAGAAATTCTCTAGCTGACGAAGTTTATAAACATTAGCTTCGCCTCTAAAAGATGTAGCCAGCAAATTGAGGGTATAAAAAAATTTAAACATTGTAAAGGTAGTGAATTTGACATGAAGCACAGAGAAAAATGATGAATTCTTGGAGATAATAAGGCTAACAGTACTAACCCAATTATACTCTAAAATGTACTGGAAACCATAATGCATGGTTTCAGGGCAATCCATGCTTGCAAACACACCTATTACATCATTCTGTTCCTGGAATTTTGACTCCGTACTAGCATCCAACAAGTTCACAATGATCCCTACTAGAAGGGCTAATATCATGCCTCTTTTTTATTTCTCTATAGATTGGCCATTCCGTCTAAGTGAACTGTTGATAAAATGCTACAGTGTAAGTAAAAAGAAAATAAACAAGTGTTTAATAATATCATGTTTTTTAATGAGAAGTCATACAGCTATATATTAGTTCAACTAATAACTAAACCAATTTGCAAGACCAGTCGGTTCAGAAACCTAAAAAAGGGAGATAAACTGAGATTTTGAAACTTTCAATGTATCTTCTGATATATGCAATATTTGTCCACTGAAACTTGAAATTTTCAATAAAAGAAAAATGAGTAGGGGCCTAACATAATTATGCAACTACAATGAGATACAAGATCCAAAATGCTAGTTCATAAAATGTCTTGCATGCAGCTGCATAAGAGGCAATGTAAAATATTGCCTCTCCTATACACAATGGATTAAAGCATCAATGTGCACAGTAATATAATATGGATATTAGACACTATAATCTAAAAAGAAAAAGACAGCCATATCAGTTAAATCAGCCAGCAGACCACTTAGAAGTCAAAAAACTCAGCATCTGCTGCAGAAGTTATATGGTTCAGAATAACGACAAACAACTCAGTCAGTCTTCGAAGGTTTGTGTCGGGCCCTGAGAGGAATGCTTGAGGGATCTCATGGGTACAGAACTCCAAAACCCTTGCAAGATTACATGATAGATCAAATATGACACAGCATTTCCTCTGCTGAAACTCCAATACCTGCAAAAACATGTCTATAAAATCAAATCATAGACCCAAAGGAAGATCCGCTCAGGTGGAAAGAAAAGGCCGTGGCTATCATCACATATGACAAAAAGTTCTAGCCATAAACTCAAATACAATACGTAAGGAGTCATTTTGTTACCAAAAAAATATGGGTGAAATACACAAACCCCCTATACAACATAAGAAAGGACACTAATCCCTTCTTGTTTGAAAAACAACTGCAACTTTACTTGATCAATTTTTTTTTTTAAAAGAGGGGTAAAGACAATTCCTATTCACATTCATTCTTTCAGGAGACCAAAAGCCCGAACTAAGCCAATGCCAATGCTAGGAAAAAATCCATTGCAGACTTAACACTGGTTTTCCAACTCTAAATTTTCAGTTAAGAGTGGGAAATTCTTGCTCCCAATGTCCATTTCAATAACAAGCCCAAAATATGAAAAGAGATATGGACAATAAATCACTCGTACAAGTTTCAACATACAATTTTAATTATTCCTGAGATGCAAGCAGATATTCTATACCACAAAAAAAGAGATGCAAGTCATCTACAATCCCTGGGTAGCAAATATAAGAGGCCATGTTTAAATTAAAAGATTCAAAATGGTAAGATAAATTTTAGCAAGTTACAATGCTAAACTGCTGATAACACTGGAAACCACCATACATGATTTTTTTGAAAACCCTAATGTTATTCGGCCATCTTTGAACCTACCAGAACTCATAGTAACCAACCTTTCTGCCAAAATTCATAAAATACCATTTCTCTGTTATTTCTCTTTTTCTATTTACATAAGCTTAATAAATATTCCAGATGATTCATCTAACATAAATTTCCTTGTGCACCCCAGTCATCGTTCCCTCAGACCTTTCACCTATCCAATTGCTCCTCACAATGTCATCATACATCCTCTGCACATTCAGCTATAACAATTGCACACAAATGCCTGTCATCCATAAAATACAAAGAAAATCCATCTAAGCCATGTTTTCATGTAGAACTAAACTAGCACCGATCGTATGTTAGATTTCTTTGAAAAATTAGAGGAAGAATAAAGCATGTTTATAAATTCAAATTTTGTCAACAAAAGTATTTCGATTTGAGAGACCATGACATAAAAGAGTCAGACAGCAAGAAAAAATGATGACATGAAATACAGTCTTTGACTTCCATTCATTTACCTTAACCCTTTCCCAGTATCAAAAGGTAGTAGCATTTACAAGGACAATTCAGTTGTCACAGTTTGGAACTATGGAGTGTCAACCTTTTTCTGAAACGTGTGTTATCATATTGGTTTGTTTTTTTGAATTTCATCCTTGTTGTCTACTTTCAGAATGTTGTAAATTAAGGTAGATAATGGATATATAAGTTGAAAAGATGTGAGCCACTAAGTTAAGAACCAAGTTGGAGAGAAAAATAGTATAGATACGAGAAGCATAAGCGTAAAACCTCCAAAAAAGGTTACTTAAAGTAACATAACAGGAAGACATTTGCTTAAGTGTGAACATATTATACCTGGAATTTTTCTTGCATTTCTCGAATGGAAACTGAGAATTCAGTCATTTTCCAGCTGACAGTGTTAAATAGACGATTGAGGAAAGCTAAGAACAACTCTTCATCATTGATGCAAGCTTCACGCAGCAGTCTCTTTAAAATAAAGAGCCCCACATAGGGTGAAAGATAGAAACAGAAGTGATTTCAGGGGACAAAAAGATGATTAGTGATGGTTCACTATTCACCTGGAAAACAACTGATGATGATGATGATTCTCCATGCTTTGAAGAACCAAATCCAGAACCCTTGCATAGACGCAGAAGAATATTTGTAACCGGAATCCAAGATCGGTTGTCAAATGCTGACAATAATGCCTTTGGCATCCTCAGTTTGGCAGCTTCATTGTTTTCAAAGCTGCCAAATACTGTCTGAACTGCACCAGGACTGATATTGACTGGAGAAGAAGATCCCTTAAATGTGCATTTGATATCCTTGGATCGTTGAAGTGGGTAACTACAAATGTCACCTGATAAACAACCCAAAAACTTAGACAACAACTCAGACTGAACAAAGAAGAAAAATCCAAAAGTTACTTCTCTGAGCTTATGCTACATGTTAAATATATGTAAGGTTTCAGATATAACACGGTTATATGCCTTTCGGAATTCTGAAATTAGGAAGCTATTGAACAGAACAAGCCAAGTTCCTAACAACAACAAACAACAAACAGAATAGAAACTGAGTATTAAAGTTTTAAATGAAAATTATTCCACATCTTCTAAATGTTTAATCAACAATATTCATACAGGAAAAAGGAGTCGATAAGCAACATAAAAAAAAAACCTATCTAATGAATCCTACTTTGAGCATAATCATTTATGAGAAACAAGATACTTTTCCACTCAAGTGCACATACTAATTGAAAGTACACATCTAGAAAGAGAGAATAACCTCAGAAATAATAATAAGAGAGGTTTCAAGTCCACGTTATAAGATTAATGTCAATTACTGAAATGATGAAAATTAGCAGAAAGCAGATTGTTAACGAGCTTAATAGCTTATGCACCATAATTATTGTCTTTCCAGGGAATATTTTAACAGTCTTAAGAACATCAAATCAGTAAATACCAGCAGATCAGCCTAAAAGAAAGTTCAGAACATGCAGAACATATATATTACACTTTAGAGAGAGCAGTTCCATTGTGAAGTACATGGATACATGAAATAAGTGAAACAGTGGATTATTTAAAAGATCACACTTGTTCTTTAAGATATTTATGGCAGTTTTGTCTTCATATACAACCATTTTTGCTTTATAAAATGTGAAGTTTAGAGTATAAGCAATGATGCAATTTATACCAAAACAGTAAAATCCTACATAAGGCTGCTAGAAACAAACTCTAATGAGGGTAAACTGTAGATAACTAGAAGAACAAAATTCAAAACTCAAGACACAACATCAAATCAATAGGCAAAACATACAAATGACATGAGTCCTTGCTTGATAAATATTGCTGGTGGGACAAATGGAGGATCACTCTTACGCAAGACATGAAAGCAGTCAACCTGAAACAATAACCAGAGAAATTACTACTACTCTAGGAATAAAAATGGAAATTAGACATAAAATGCACCAAATAAGAACTTGGTAAGGCCCATATTCAAATAAAAACATAGCAAATGTCCTAGATAAGCAGATACTGAAACATATTTATAATGCACTATTAAATACACAGAAAACAGACTGGGAAAAACTCAAATTGTTCTTCAACATCTTGCCAGCAATCTTTTTTTAATAGGTAATATATCTTGCCAGCATAT